GGAGAAAGCACAACTTAGTCGTGAAAACCATGTATTTGAAATCATGTATTTAAAACCACTGCACATGCCTCGGCAAATGAAACATGCTCGTTAAAAACATTTGCTTGGTATCTTCATTCTGTATTGTCGTAAAAATTGTGCGTATGTTTCAGTAATTTGATGAAACAGTTTCTGATAATCTGTGGCTAATTTTTCCATGCAATTCCAACATTGCCCGATTGTGGAAATTAAGTGGGCTTCCGGTATGCCACAAATCATGCTTTGACAAAAACAATTTAACGGAAACTTTGCTAAAAAGGCCAACAATAGTCTCTTCTGGTGATGTTCTTTCTAGAATAGAACAAGGGTCTTTCCTCTGAGGAGTTTATTCATACGGTCAAGTCATGGGTTATCATTACCAATTTATCCCAAATAAAAAACAACCCTCCTCACTGAAACGCCTTCAGGTAAGTCCATAAAATTGTCCTTCTTTGCCAAATTCAAAAGGTGACTCAATAAAGTCATAGCATATTCTTATTAGTTTTCAGAGGAAGTTAAATCAGCTTCATTTACTTGGTAGATGCCAAGCATTAGATGAACTTGGTGACAGCTTTTAGATCCGCATACGTGTCCCAATTTGATGGCCCAAGGTGAACAAACCAATCATTGCGTTCACCACTGAAACCTTCAATATGTGTATCAACAGGTCTTGGCCCCGCACTAAATTGCGTTAAGCTGAATGATGTCCTGACCAGAATAGATCCGAATTTATTTTGAGAGTTTTACTTTTGTTCACGTTATGCTGAGATTGCGGTTTTTAGTATTCTTCGATACTCCGTGAGTGCTCTTGTTGAGGTCTCACAAGTGAGCATAAAATACGACGAGAAGAGTCACGGCAGGTGCTCTGTCAAAGACAAATCTCAGTCCTAGACGGTGAAATACTCTTGATTCGCATCTGAATTCAGTCGATAAGCTTGGGAGCAATAACGAATCTTGGAAGCCATAGAACGAATCTCACTATAATTTTCTGTAGTAATTGGTGCCTAATTCTCATCGTATGGTGCTACTGTATTGGGTTGTGATGGATAATTATGTGCTAAAAAATCCTGACCATTCGCGAAGAAAATTCTAAAAAAGTTAGGTCTCGACATTAATAATCACAAAATTCAATACAAGATTTGCACACATGATAAGCCAAAATAGTCAGCACTGGATAACATAGCGTCTTATACAGAGCTTTACAAAATGTAAGTTCGCTTGAGTTCTAACGTTCTACTGGAGTATTTTACTGGGAATAAAAATTTAACATTGTTCGACGGAAACAATCTTCACATCATCAAGTAAGACTGTGATTGAGATCCTGGCGGTTAGTCATTGATGAGTAAACCGTAGCGCCAAATGTTCTACAGTAGAATAAGAGTTTCGAAAAAGTGAGCAAAACTGTACTTGGTTCTATGTCTGACTAGTCCTAGATCAAATATTGTTCTGGCAAGCGATAACTCCAGGTCCGTTGACAACGAGGAGTTATTGCTTACACTAAGAGCGTGTCAAGAAGGTCAGGTTCTTGGCGGTTATCCGAGAGTAGGAATGAAAGAGAATTTAGCTGAGTGCTTCTGACTTCAACGGTGAACTTACTGCGAAAAACCCTTTTTTCTTAATCAACTGAAATACATGAATCACATGCACAGTGCCAATGAATGTGTGGATCCCAGACAGTATGGCTCACCACACCGTTAGTCATAAAAACTAATAGATATTGTAACTCCTCTCTGTGAGAAATGTCGACCAGGGCAACACTTCAAGGGAGAAAGTCCTAAAGGATTTCAAAAGCAAAGTGTTTAGCCACTGCCAGTTGAACTGAATAACCTAACAATCGATATATATATATATACGATCTAAAAATAGGAGACGTACAAAACATCAAAGTAAAAACTAGTGGTATAGTGACAAGACTTGTACAGTTTTGCACCTAACCACCAGCCAGGAGAAGAGTCTTAAATGTGATGCTTATAAACTGGTGTTCTTGATAAGAGTGGAAATGAGCGGTAGGAAGAGTGACTGTCTTCCTTAAAAATGCTCAAAAATAGTTTTACGACACCCTCTAGGTATTTTTCAGTACAGAAAAAATGATGCTTATAACTGGTGTTCTTGATAAGAGTGGAAATGAGCGGTAGGAAGAGTGACTGTCTTCCTTAAAAATGCTCAAAAATAGTTTTACAACACCCTCTAGGTATTTTTCAGTACAGAAAAAACACTGCCTAACAAGGAAACTGTTGGCTTCTTGAATCAGTATTGTGCATTTCTGTTCTTACTCCAAAAGGGACGACCCTGATGCGCGTTCTGTTAGATGTGCACCCATGGATACGCTGTGGTGCCGAAGGCATGGTTATAAAGCCAGTGCTAGACTTTCGACACAATATGCCTCCGTTTCATGTGAACTGGTCAAGAGAGGCAGGGATCTATCCAGATCTCCTGGATTCGGCCATCGCTCAGTACATCCTGCGCATTATCAATGGAATGGGACCACCGGCGAGGTTATTGTGTTACAAAAGACCAAGGGTGCTTCTTCACATGGAGTACCTAGCCAACTTGTTTCCCAACTCCAAGTTCATAGTCATGCTAAGAGATGGACGAGCTGTTGCAGTTTCCCTTGGGGAGTAAGTTTCTGTCATTTGTTCCATTTCCAATTTCCACAATTTACCATTCGCCGAACGCACTATTTGCATGGGGATTAAAAACACTTAATTACCAACTTTTAGATAGCAGGATAAAATAGTAATCTAGAAGAAGCGCACGGGACATGGAACCATTCGAGGTGGGACATATAATGACACAAACTAAAATTCACTCATCACTGACGGATGGTAGAGTTCTTTATCTGAAATCAAAACGAAGTAATAGATGTTGGGCGAATTCAGTAGCTGATGGAGTGCAGAAAAAACTGTATATAAAGTTTAGGTGTCTATTTTGGATGGAGCGGGTATTTGGTGGTGACGTTTCAAAATATAAAATTAAGTAATTGGAAGATTGTAATTATTTTATCTACACACGTGTGGTTTATCGGCCGCGAGGCTGAACTCACTTCGATCTTATGAAATGAAACAATTCGAATACACTGCGCTTTGCATCTTTAATTAGCATTACGTGATAGACTACCCTGTGGTTGTGAGAGATGTATGTTGTCGATCGGCTCGTTTGCTTATCAGTGAACTATTTCCGGCAGAAACAGACGGGTTGTTACTGTGGTGTGAAGGTTTGTATGCATTCGATACCCAGTGAGCTATACAGGGAGGGGATTATCGGTGCGACTCAAGGAGGGACTCATATGAAGTTAGTCAGTGTTTAGAGGTTTGAACTACACAGTATGTTGCACCTCCCAGTTTGAGGGTTGAAACAAGGGTGGCAACTTCTCTGAAAATGGTAACCCCTTGCGTTGGATGCCAATCACTACCCTCTCGCAGCTAGAAATTCGAGACAATGGTTTTGATCGAGGACCTTAATCGTCTCCGTGTAAGTCTTGGCGCCCCGACAATATATCAGCCCATGTGCAACCATGAATTGCAGAAAAACGCAGAATCTCATACCACATTGACCGTCGCGTGGTGCCATCAACCGGCTCGCCTTACTTGCTGCATACAAGAAGGCGGGAAAACGAAAACAAACTACTGCTGACGTCTCCCTCGTTCCTCTTTCAAATAATTTTCTTCGCCTCTTCCCCACGCCATTAATAACTCTCTCCTCGTAGGCTCAACACTTAGGACTAATCAATCCGTTCGTCCTTCGTCGGTTTCGCAAGCAACATCTGCACGTCAACCGGCGCCAACATCCTCAGGCATCTTGGAATCACGCCTTGATATCTAGTCTGTTCTACTGATTTCAATGTCCACACTCCAGAGCTGCTCTCCTGCTCTCACATCGTGCTCACTTGGAATTGATGCGTGCTGTGTATCAGAAACGAGAATTCAAGATGCAAGTACAATGGTTGGGCTAACAGCCCCATCACTCTCTACTCACTTACGACTACGCACGTCTGGCGACCCAGAAGCTGCTGTGGCAGGATGTGTAGGGGTGGTTATCGTCCCAAGTCGCCGGGCGGAAGCACCCTTGTCTGGATGGATACCCGTTGGTAGTCGCCTCTGTGTGATTCGTCTGGTAACCTTTGGGAAGGAGTTCTACCGAGGGGAAGCTGACCAATGTTTGCTTATCTTATCTGTTTACTCCCTAGCTGACTGTAGCTGACACCAGCAAAGATATGTTTTATGACACCTTGATTTCCCTTTTGCGGCAAGCTAAAAGCCCAGATATCGTTGCGTTTGTTGGAGATCTGAATGCATAGATGGCTTAGCGCATCTGTGACTCAATTAGGTGGTCGAAACAGATTGAACTTGGTACGCACGGACAATGGTGACTGATTGCTTGAGCTGTGTGCAGACCGCAGATTTTTTTCATGCAATACTAACTCCCGAAATAGCCGAAGTCATCTGGTCACATGGTGTCCTCCAACGGTGTGCCGGCTGCGAACACACATCGATCCCATCGCCATCAGTTACCAGTGGCGTGGACCAATATCTGACTGCCGGTCGTTTTAAAACCGATTTATGGATTCTGACCATGCGCACTTCCTTCGTTTTCTGAGGCCGCGTAAGGTGCGGACGAATGGTCTGGTGACCAAGAGACTGACATACCCAGATTTTACACTAATTTACCAGAATCGTCTTCCAGAGTCTCTTCCAAATTCTATACCACCATCATACTGGGATGAGATCGCTATCTCTATGCGCAGTGTTGGGAGTTCTGCCTGTGGCACAGCACTACCATGCGCATCCTGGCACTCTCTCCATTCCTCTTTAATTTCGTGATCAATGGGATAATGAGACGAACACTGGAAGGTCTTCAAAACACCTGTGTTCAAATAGCCTCTGTCGAAAATTTTGCTGATCCGGAATATACAGACGACATCGTCCTCGTCTTGGAAGTGTAGCAGAAGGCGCAGGATGAACTGACCAAAGTCATCCCCATCTATGGCATGCGCTTCGCACCGACAACATATAAGGTCATGGTCCCGGAGACGCAGCCACCGAACAGGCCACTTGCAATCAAGTGAAATGCACTCGAAGTTGTGGAGCGTTTTACGCACCTAGGAAGCTGTATTAGTTCGATTGTAGTGTAGTGGATGTGGTCAGTACAAAAATCTGCAAGACTCGGTTCACCTCGCTGGCCGAATGTTGTATGATAAATCTCAAAAGGTGAATTTCCATTGGGTACACTGCTTAATCAACCCGAAGATGAGTGGCGATCACCCAAAAAAAAACAAAGTGAGCCAAACTGTTGAGTATGCAATCCTTCTTGGGCTGGAAAAAGAAGAACCAGCTAAAAATTTTTATCATCCAATCGTGTTCAACATGTGAGTGAAGCGGAACATATATGGGATGGAAATATCGCTAGCGGTTTACACCTTAAACCGAAACCTAATTCGATTAGTTCACGACATGATTCCTTCATTCCTCATATTATTCCCTACCCTACTTCGAGTACCCAGTGTAAACAGGGTCATATTTTTATCCGCTCAGACCTGCGATAACAGAGTTAACTGGGTATACATGTTTCGAAACCACTGATTTAAAGGCATTTTTCAGAAATTTACTTACCTGACACTACAATACGAAAATATTCAATGAACTATCGGAAAATTACATCAGCCCAGTTAATCCTGCGATAATTTTTAGATTTTTCCGCCCCGGCTTTGGAGTTACCTCGTTCGTGCTGCAGGCGCGTTCACCGGTTTTGCCTATGGGTGTAGATTATTAAATACAAAGAGGTGTGATTTGGCAGTTGGCGTTGTTCAGATATCTTTCTCTCAAATGAGTTTGTTAGTTCGTCTTGTGCTGTTGACGTCTCACCAGAACGGGTCCTTTCTTGCTTCCAAGATTTGGTTTTTCATCTATCACAGATGGATATAACTCCGTGATCTTGCTGGACACAAACTCGAGGGTGCTGAAAGGAATCGGATGGCTGTTGATCTGTTAATCAGGCTTGACAACTGAATTGGAGATATTTCGTCACCATTCGTGGGGACAGTATCAGTGACCGGACAGGTGGGTACTTACTCCCTACCAGTTTCCGTTTATATAGTTCTATAAACTATATCTGATGTCTCTTGGTATGATTGGTTGATTGTGGGGCAGCTTCTGTTTGCGACTGGTGCTACTTTGTGTTCATGTGTCCGGTATTTGATTAGATGGGTGAATAGCTTCCTTTCTGCTTGGTCCGCTCACAAGCTGCGCTGGCCTTTTCCCGATCTGATTGATCATCTCGACACCTGAGTAGCAGCTTACTCCCTGTGCTTTGACAAGTTAGTTCTAAATTTGCATTGAACTGTGGCTTGATTTCCTCTAGCCTGATTTGCTTTCCAAACTTATCCTCCGTAAATACTGACCTCTGCGTTTGATCGAATAATCAGATTTAATTTTGTTTTCAGTTTTATTCTTAAATTTATTGGTTAGAGGCGTAGTCCTGCCACACGTGATTAACTGCTAGAGTCCTGTTTTGTCTAGAAGCTTCTTCTTCTGTTTCTTGTGCATTTTTCGCCTTTGCAAGTCTTCAGTCCTCTTGTCCTCAGTAAAGGGTACGATCCCAATCGGTGGAACAACATGCATCTATGAATTCACGTTCTCTCTTTTCTCTCGCCTGTGCTAGTATGCAAACCTAGTACTACCAGAACTTGTACCACTCCCGAGCTTAATGCATGGAGAGTAACGAAAAGTATTTGTGCCTTTAGACAGTGAGGTTGCGTTCACGATGTCTGTTAGAAAACCTCCTTTCCGTCTACCCTAAGTGGTTTAATATAATCCTTACATTGAATCCTGTACATGGGATTGATCTTTGCCATTTACTCCAGTTTTATTCCCGGTTTTCAAAGAAATAGGATTATGACAAAACTGCTCCACAGTCGATCGATCATATCATGACATATCAACTACTCTTTTACATGCCATGAAAACGCGAGCAGGTGAGAAGGAGGAACCCAGCCAATCGCTCAGTGATGATGTCCTCACGATTAGTGTCGAAACACTCGTAAGCGAATTCCCAAGCTTCACGAAAAGATCAGCAGCCACACGATCCACAATCAATTAACTACAAATATTTCGATATATTACCAAGACAAACGGTAACAGTTTTTGAAAATGGGCACTTAATCCAGCCTTTGCCAACTCGTGTCACAAAATGTCTCGAAATCATTGGTGCTGCCGTACTTGTTGGGCTAGGCGTCCTATGAAGAGGAATGAAGAAAATTTCGTTTCAGATCCTCCAGAAACTTATGCACGTACTGGTGCAGGTGCTGTAACACAATACCGAACATTAAAAAAATTTAAAAAAAATTGTGAAGATGTAGCACCCTTTCGGTGCCTAGCTGCCATGCCATCCGAAGGAAGCACGATGACTAGGATAATGTCAAGTTGCCCAAGCCTAGACAGGGATAGTCGGAAGGCAGAGGTCAGGTTCGAAAGACTGACCTTCCGACCAGTAAATTTGCCCTCTAACCACTAAGACATCTCGCTCCGCACCCAATGAGGAAAACATAGGCGTTCCATTTTTTTTATTGCATAATCACCGTGGTTCATGAAAACACACTGGCGTGCTTCGTTTTGCACCATAAATTTACATTGGGTTTAGGGCCGTCGACTTATCAAAACCTAGAATTTCTGCTTCATAATCTGTTGCTCTCAAACTTTTAGTAGATCTTTTGGCATACGATGTTATCGAGCGCTACTTGTTCTAAAAACGCTGTTTGGTGTACGTCTGGTATAGTTTTCTGCAGCCCGAAATTGTTACAAAATATCCTGAAATATAGCTGACATTTGTCACGTGAAAGTGAAAAGCTGAACAGCAGTCAGATTCTTCACAGCCTAGTTGCCTTGCAAAAGTAGCGTCTTTTATTCGTGTGACGGAGGCATTGGGAATGACCCTTAGAGGAACATATTCAAATATTGGCTTCTGCAGTAACAGGGTGCACAATATAACCCCTACAACACTTCGATATTAATTTACCCATGTGTTTGCGATCGCAATGTAAATATTTTGGTTTTGTGACCAGTGCACGTTGATTCGCACCAAGCCATATACTCAATTACAAGCCATCCGTCAATGTCTACTGGTGACCGTTGGAGTAAAGGCCACCCGGGTAAGCGAACCAGTTGTCTTCTAGAATGTGATGTCATTTAATCCTGGCCTTGATCTGTTAACCACCTGATTCAGGTGTATCTACTTCTCATGGTCTACGGAATAAAGTGATCGTCCGTCCTTCGTACCATCGGTTTGTTTGTGGTTTCCTTCTAATAGAAGTGCATCAACCCTATCAAATAGACGAAAGAAAGCTCCGACTATTGAACATCTCGCCCACTTCGTGGGATTTATCACCAGATTCTCCATGGGCTATATTTGTTTTGACCTCCTACGCAAAGGGAAACACTAATCTATGTGCGAGACTAGCCGCGAGATTCGGTCATAGCTGCTGCCATCAGAAGCGGAACCATAACCGTGGTCATCGTCATCACCATGAAGAGCACATCAGTGCTCAACACTGATGCTTCGCTGCCGTACGCATATGATTTGTTTGAAAGCCTTATCGTGAGAATAAATGTTGACAATGAAGGAATTTGTGCTTGGTTACTTCAATCATTCCGAGGTGCGTACACCTCCAGACACTCAGTCCGGCAATCTGGATAGAAAATCACGACAAGAACGCCAGTGACATAGATTAACAGCCATATCTTACAGAGCTTCCAACCAGGCGCAATGGGAATCACGTGGTCCCATCCTCGAAGGTGAGTATTACCGACAGATCTCCTTCATACCCCTCTGCCAGGTCAAGGGTTGGTCACCTCTCTGCTTCCGCCACTCTGGATTGGGCACGGAAAACAGCACTCTCTTCGAAAAACGGTACTCAACACATGCGTATCCAGGGTGATCATTCAAATCCCTATTTCTATTTGGCAAATGAATACTTCTTTTTCAACTAGCTAATTATCGTTAATACACATGGCTGCGTTGGGTCTTTAGGTTGATCTCTCTGCTTGAGCTCTGCTGAACTGAAAGCTTACAAAAAAAGCAAGTGAGCTTAATCCTTTAGAAGACTATCTAGCTTATGTGTGGTTTTGCCGAATAAAGCAAGCATGGTGCAACGTTTTCCCTGTTTTTTGTTCCTTACCATTCGCTATGCCATCTTTTCTTGAGATGTTTGTATGATCGTCCACAGAATTCCTTTGCACTAACAAGTTATTATCCGCGATATGATATCTAAAAAGAAAATCCTTGATACACCAAAACCGGTTCTTTGTTCGGCTTTCAAACTCCTTGTGATCGAAAGCAGTCCAGCAATAGGGGGACTGGGTTTCACGTTAAAGTCACATATGCCGACGAACCGAAAATGATCTCGAAGTGTAGTTAATATCTCGTGCCATACCATGTTCATGCAAAATCTGTCCGCAATCCACCGTTATATACAGGACAACATCAGCCTTATATCATGCAGCTTTAAGTTGCATTTAGAGTAGAATGTGTAATTTAAGTCCATCAGTGCATCTAGAGATATTCAAACTTTCAAATCACTTTACATTAAATGGCGTAAGATTATTGAACTACTGGGATGGAAGTTGCCTCATGCCTTCAGTCATCTATACCATTCTAGGCTGACACGCATTGGGGTTATATCCCAAAGCAAGCGCATGATGATCCCTAAGTGAATAACGAGTGTTGCCGTATTGGAAAACCAGACGGTGTTCTTCCGTTTATATGTGCATTTCTCATGGGTAAAATCTGAATTTTCGATAGCATGTTCTGCTTAACGGGTGCCCGAAAGTCACCGTATATCTTGGCACCAAGGCAGACAAGGTAACACAATAGGTTAGAAGGAGGTTATGCCTTCAAATTTCAACGAACTTTGGTCATTCATTTCTTCTGCCCACCCAACCCAAGGTATGACCTCATATGACCTCACATCCTTTTGAAAAGGTTTATATATGTAGATTTGTACAAGACGGTAGCTGACCAGGCATTATATTATCACATCGCCATTTTTAATGCTTCAAAGACATCAAATTCTTCAAACAAACCGAAGCGTGCTTATCGTTAAGCAGAAGACAACGGCAATATTTGAGACGGGCTTAAGCATCTCTTGATCCCCGTCAGAAAAATTCAAACTCAAAAATGAAAATTACTCTTCACTGTGGGTTTATTCGCAATGCGTTCCATTTCCTTATACAGTAACACACAAAGTTACCTGGATTTCCAAGATATCTTTTTCCACCAAAACTACTCTTGATTCCGTGGTTCACCTGCTTTCTAGTCAGCCAAGTGGTCCTTCTTGTGTCATCACAGGCCTCGGAGAGCATGCTGGACAAAATTAACACTTAGATATTGAGCGCGCCTTTCTTATTCAAATTACTGGTTACTCGACTGTTCGCTGATATCCGCAACTTTGGCTTAATGTCCCCATTGGGGGGGGTTTTGCTTAACCCCAGTTTTCTTAGTATTCCGATCCTGGGATCTCAGTCTGGAGGATAATCACCAAGCCGGTCAAATTGCATGACAGTGCATAGGCTACCCATTTCAGCCTCCACTATAGTGGGTAACCTCACTGTCATCCTAGTACAGCAAGGCTTCTCGTGCTAAACTTCAAATGAGTTGTCACATATGTCATACCGCAAGCGCGAACCAATACGGTAAAAATGTTGCAGGTGTGATCCTGGAGCATCATGGCGAATGGGTCTACCCGTAAACAGTGCCTGATATTGGGTCAAACGTCGTTCGAACAGTGAATCCATCAAGCGCATCAAAGAGTTTCAGAGACCATTGTCCACCTTCCCATATGTAGTATGAAACCACTTAGACATCCTACTGACTCGCACAAATACATAAAAATTGAACTTTGTGGACTGCTTCTGATTGTACGAAAATACACCATAACATTTGCCGGCCACTTTCCCAACAGAAAGTCATATTAGTTGTTGAAACCAGACAGACATGAGTTACAACTTGCAATAGGTGGCTTCCACTTTTCCCATGTGCCTAAGTTGCCGCAGTATTACAGTAGCCCAGCGTTTGTATGACCTGGACCTGGAACTAGATTCTGGCTCTCGTCTTGCCCGGTCACTCCGGTAAAAAGACGCAGAACGTGTTTTTTGACAAGTTCGTAAAGTATCGAGTTGCATGAAAGGGTTGCGTCAAGCACTCGGAGATCAGTAACTATGGTTTGCACTTCACCTGGCACCAGCCGCATTGCTAAGACCTGGCTTTCAGTTAGCATAACTAATTTTAAGAAAATGTGGATTATCTGCAGTGTTTTTGGCAACTACTTTGGCCACAGCCGTCTTGAGATGTACGGTCAAAGTTACCTTAAAAACATTCACTTCCACAACTTGTCATTAGGACTTGGTGATTGCCTCATTCACTTTTAGTTAAATTTGTTCGGTTCATTCATTTTCGTTCCGAAGGTGGAGCTCACGTTCGACAAAAGTATTGCATGGCTTTTTGCGTACATGGATGATAGACAACCTCAAGATCATTCAAGTTTGCCACCGGGTTGGTTCTGAACGATGCATTATTGTTCGATACGAATTACTTGTGCTCAATCCAGAACGGGAACTAAAGGTGTTGACAGGTAAGCAAATATTTTCGTGGGAGAACATGGAAGTTTCTGAAGGATCAAGGTTTTCAGGGGGCAGTGATTTTTATGATGATTAAACACCTCTTTTCTCAGCTTGACCCTGAAGGAGCAACTAAATCTAATATTTGACTAGTTGACCGCATTTTCACCGGTGTACGTAGGGACATCTGAACAGATTGTGGGTAGGTGGATTCGGACAATCATGGTCGCTCTGACGGTTAGAATCTTTATTCTGATTAATTTTATTTCTTTCA